ATAATGAAATCTGTTCAGATGTTCTTTTAATTTGATTGTAGTTGTTGAAACGTTTGCTCTGGGTATTCAGCTGGTATTATGAAATTTCAAGCAATGTCAAGTGATGGTACCTGCTAGATGGGTGGTTTTTTAAATAAAACGGCTGTTTGTTTACCTTTTTCTATTGCAAATATATGACAATTGTCCGAAGATGCAAATGTAGAGGTCTTTTATCCTTTATAAAAAATTAATTTTCGTCTAATTTTGTATATAGGTTTTTATTGACGAGGAGATAATTTGCGGTTTCTGCTTATTTGGATATGTATGACATTTTTTCCCCCCAAAAGTGCTTGCGTTTGATACGCCCTTTTTCTTTTTGAGTGTGTCATTAGAGAGTGCTGCTCCTAGGTTATACTTTCTTACTATTTGCCTGTTTATTTCTTGTTGAAGCAGCCTTCCTGAAAAAGGTTCAAATTGCCTTGTTTCAGTCATTCCCAAAGTATAATTCTTGCTTTGTCTGAGCACAAATTTTTGGTCCGTCTACATCAAATAATTCCACTAACAGGAGAAGCGTCGACTTGCCATCAACAATGCCAAACGTCAGTGGGAGAGCATGCAGGGTTCCATGATGAGCAGGACCTCTCGACTGGTCAAAGTGAGCACCACCATGCCTGAGCTCTTTGCCAACCACATCGGCTCTGTGCCCAATATGGAAATGACATCACCACCGGGGCCAGAGATGGACGGCTTGGACTTAGAGTCTCTGACCAGGTATTGATGAGGAGGGGGCAGAGGTTATTGAATGGATAACTTATGCTCAATTGTATTGCTTGTGTGTACCTTTTCCTCTTCTTTCTGCCATTTCTTGTATTCTTATCATTGATTTAAGTGCTCAGCGTTTGAAATGACCTATTTCTGTCAAATAGATCTTAAAACGGATATAGAAGAAAAACAAAATGTTTTCCCAGCCCATTTCATTGAGCACTTTTGTGTTGAATCGTTGTACCTGTATTTTGAGTGCAAAGACAAACTGCTTTTCATCTTTGTCCATCATGTTTCACAAGAGAGAGCAAATGTTTTCCCACTAATCAGCAGTGACCTGAGGAGCCGGCCATGCAGTGCACGCAGCAATGTGACGGATGCTGAGAACTCACAGGATGAAGTTCAGAAGGATAGGTCAAGAAGTGGTAGCCGGCGAAGAGAACTCAGATTCCCACTGCGGACAGAGAGTTCAAAAGATTCTGGTATAAGGTGGGATTGTGTAGTTTATTTTACATTTTGTCTTTAATACTTTCTGAATGAAAATTCATATATGTACTTGTAGCTCTAATGTGTTTCTGAGAGTTTGCCAGTGTTTCTACTGGGCAGGAAAGAGAATTCAATCTTTTTCCTTCATCAAGTGCAAATCCATTTCCATCTTGAAAAACAGTTAGCATTTAAAGATAAAACGACTGACAATTTACATTAAGATCTCTTAATTCCTCTCCTACAAAGTCCAGTGTCATCTCTGTTTGAAATATTCAAGATTTGAATAATCTGAATAACCAAAAAATTACATTTTGAGTTTAATTAATCATTCAGTTAACAAAGAAAATTATCCATAATATGCAGAGTGGGCCATGTTCTTATCAGTAAAGGGTTGAAATATTTCTCCAGCTTGTCATCTAAATATTTTTATAATGGTTTCATTTCTGTTTGAGTTTGTTGGGTTTTCTACAGTATTGTACACTTGGTTGTTTGTGACTTGAGGACTATTTAGTAATGATCTTTAAACTTGAACTGTTATTAAAAAAGAATTATAATTCTAATTGAAGAGAAAAATCTGCTATCAAAAAGTGAGAAGGAACCATGTTGTTTGTGATACCCAGTGGCGCCACCACAGTGATAGGAGATGGGCTGAACATGCTGGAGCAGATAGAAGGAGACACACTCTCCTTGTACGGGCCTCAGTCGCTGGATGCGTTCGACCGTAACTGGGGTGTGCAGGCAGCTGGTGCGGTCAATGTCATTGTCTTCAAGTTCATCGACTTTGATGCTATTGTCAAGCAGCTACCCAAAATCAGAGTGCGGTTTCCAGCGACTCAGGTATGTGAGCATTGTGTGTTACTGTCTTGTTTTGCTAATGTTTCCTTGTAAAACCTTATAGTTAAAGTTGACTGGGGCCATGCTCACTATTTTGTAAGCTTTAGGAAGAATTATTTTAAAAAATATAAGTTGTTTAGAAGACTACAAGCTTTTTGACATAATGGAATTAAATGGTGATCCTGTCAGTGCTTTTATTTTTATCTACATTTTTATTTGTTTCAAGAAGCCCCAGCTCCTTTTAAACGAAGAAACAGACTTACATCAATTAGCCATCATATTATAAGAATTGACTTTCCCTCTTTTAGTTTTAATGATGCCCCTCGTATATTCCATTTGTGAATCGATTATTTATAGTATAAGTGTCTCAATGTATCACTCTCTTTCTCTCTGTCTTTGTCTCTGTCTCTGTCTCTCTCTCTTTCTCTCTTTCTTTCTCACAATCTAATGTTCTTTCTCATTCTTTCTCCATCTTATCTCAAACAAGACTTTCCATACTTGCCTCATGATGCACGCACACACACAAGCAGGCAGAAACACAAATGGACACTCACTGAAACAAAGCTCATCCGCAGGGCTCGTCTTTTTCTTTCTCCAGAGCCTGGTGTTCTGTTCCACCAACATTCACAGCCTGCGACAGATCAACGCTCTCTCAGCCGTCCGCCGCCTGGACAATCTGACCATTGACCTAGACGGGAACCCGGTGACCAAGTTCACTCTGTGGAGGATGTACACTGTGTTCAGGCTGGCCCACTTTGCCCTGAAGAAAATTAATGATGTTGAGGTATGTTCACTGAGGGTGCCTTAGTTAAATGTGACTTGGACAGACTTTGTTCCTCTTTATCACAAGGGTGATCTTTGTAGTGAATTATATCCCTTCTGACAGACTTTGTTCCTCTTTATCACAAGGGTGATCTTTGTACAGAATTATTTCCCTTCTGACAGACTTTGTTCCTCTTTATCACAAGGGTGATCTTTGTACAGAATTATTTCCCTTCTGACAGACTTTGTTCCTCTTTATCACAAGGGTGATCTTTGTACAGAATTATTTCCCTTCTGACAGACTTTGTTCCTCTTTATCACAAGGGTGATCTTTGTACAGAATTATTTCCCTTCTGACAGACTTTGTTCCTCTTTATCACAAGGGAGAGATCAATATACCCAGCTCTGTCTCTCCAAGTTTGACGGGATGTGACTGTAATAATAATTGTATGACTACTTTAACTTCTAGAAACATTGTTTTTCTGTGCTGGTGAAGACAGATATTATAATTATATAAGCCCTCTTACATTTGCAAGAATTCATCAGGACTGACCTTTGAACTTTGATATCGTTAAACCCAAGTGTTCATACAATAGCAATATGAACAGCAAGGTGCATCACAAAGTAGTACTTTACCTATGGCAAGATTTGTTTCCTTAGACAAGAGCACTATTCATTAGCTAGATTTTTCATCTAAGTCTACACTCGCCTTTATTTGTTCAGTAGCTGGGGGGAAGGGTGGATATGGTTGTGACGTATCTTTATCTCTGCCAACTTTTGACGTCCGAAAAGCTTGTGCTATGAATGAACCCTTCCCCACAACCCCATCAGACACACCCTAACACTTCAGCCACCTACCTGATCAACCTCTCTTGACCCTGGCGCACACTAGGACATGTCATGTCTTACGCATGTCTCAACAACACGAATATTGGTGTGAAAGAAGGCTTTTGATGTACACAACAGGCTTTATTTTGTTGATTTTAACTAATTAAAAAAGACTGTGGAATCTGTCTCCTTTCTTTGAATCTGAGTTTTTGTTGAATCCAAGTTTGTTGAATCCGAGTTTCACTGTTGTAATAGTTTGTGAACTTAAAATGGAAGTTTGATGTTTTGTTTTCTTGCACGTTACCGCTATATCATTTCTCGTAGTGTTAGTTGTTGGCCGATGAGTAACAACATTCATGCAGCCATCTGTGTCTTTTTGAAATCGTACAAGACTTCGGTGCTTGCCTCAGGAGAAAGGTTTAGTCTCAAAATATGACTTTCCTCTTTGTACATTAAAGAAATATATCAGCAAATGATTTTTTTTTTTTAATTCCAGGTGTCATCTGGTGATATTGTGAATGCAGAAAAGTTGTTTGGGCCATTATCTCACGTGGCCACATCACAGCTGCCCCAGTACCGCTTGCTGTCGCTGATGAGTGACTCTAGACGGAAGCAGACTGTGGTTACAGAGGGCAGGAAGATAGGTGAAGGGGGCAAGGGAGGCAATGACAAGGCACACTCTGAACTTATTGGACGGGCTGGGTTGGCTTATTCTGTGCCAGAGACGAAGCAGGTGAGTGATAATTGAGCACTAGGAAAAGCCATAACATTTTTTTCTCAGCCATATCTCTTGCTGCAGAGTTTCACTGTACATCATAAAAAAGTCCCTCTCTTGGTGGACCAGTTTATTTCAATTACCTATCTCAGTCCCCTTGAAGACTGTATTTGAGCCACTTGGGCGTACATGGCAATCTTTCACATTTTTTCTCAGGAGTGGCTCAATATATTCATCTTGTATAAATTATACAGTGTAGTCTGCTTCAACAAGAATCTGCAGGACATCAAGATTTATTTTTAGTTAGCCAGGACTTCAGTTTTAACAGTTTGCTCAAATAAAAATCTTGGATTTTCTTTTTTTTTCGGTTTACTGCTCTTTTCATATTAATTAAACGTGTTGGATTTTATCAGACTCCACTGAAAAAAACCTATTGTAAGACAAAACAAACAAAAAATAACCAAATCAATATAGCTGGTTATAATAAACTAACATTCAGGGAAAGAATGCTGCATAAATTTGTAAAAGTGAATTTTTAAAGATTTTCACGATGTCTTGATGAAACCTAAAAGGTGAAATGTCAGACCCTTCTGATGCCAGAAAAATTACTGTAAATTTTTACCCATGTTCAAATTAACAAAGATTCTTTCTTTTTCTCCTAAGACATTTTCGTTTCAGACCCAGCACTCATCATTCCTCTCTCTTTCCTCCGCTTTTGTTATCCCATGTCCTTCTTAGCTATAATATGTTCTAGTTTTGACAATAAAATATAAGGTGGAACTCTTTTTTTCTTTCTCTCTCACTCTGTGAGTTTGTGTTGTCTCTTCTCTGTTGCCCAAACTTGACATACAGTTCATCAACTTGTTATTGTTGTTTCATGTCTCTGACGTAATATCTCCATACCACATGCAGTCTCCACTTTGCTTTTATTCATTCTCAGGATCCAGATGGAAAGCGCCACTTTGCCCACAACTACTTGACTGAGATGACAAAAGAGGCAATTTTTAACGACCGCAAGCGAACAGAGTTGATGAAAATCTGGCCTAACTTGATAGTGGATATGGTTCAACGTGCTCTGACGGATATGTCAGATATGGATTCTTACATGAAACGTTCACTGGATGAAATGGAAAGATCTTAATTAAAAGAGAATCATGTCATTATCCTTCTGCTTTCAAATAAAAATTCATGTAAGATTAAAATTATTTCCCTTTATATTTGTACCTGATTGGGATTTATGAATGTCTGAAAGCAAGATATTAAATCATGATACCAGACATGTGTTCTTTACAGTATCTTCCCTCCAACCAGAATTTTGTTTCAGTTCCTGTTTGCAGTTATCTGTTGGCCAAAACTGCACTTATAGTTCCTCGTTTTAAAAAGAATCGCTTCGGTTTTTTTGGGGGGTAAATAGTAACATAAAACATTAGTGCCCTTGATCTTGTCTAAAAGGGGATAATCAGAAATTTGATACCCATCTGTGCTTGTTCGATAGCATGCAGCAAGCTCACCTGTGGACATTGCACTATGGAAAATCATGGCTGTTGGCTTGATGTGTGAACTGAAAATGAACAAACCAGCCTCCATTACGACCATTTTGTTATATAGAAAGATTTAAGTTCAAACTTTAAAATTTTGTTTTGAAATTGATTTTTCATGCAGCGGAAAACAACCCCTGAATTATCGATCTCATTGCCATGGTGTCTTGTCATTTTTTCTTTACTTATTCACATGGTTTACTGTTCGATATATTTTCCTTATTGTGTGCAAACTTGAATCAAACATTTTGTTGGGATTATTGTTCTATTTTCAGTTACTTTTTGAGCCCCGGTCTCCTGGGCCTACAAGATTCTTACATCTACCTTTAGTTATCTGCAAAATTAACATTAGCACAACCTGAAGAGTGCACTGGGTGCCCAGAGGGGTAAAGCTACTGCTCACTTAGGCATGCTCTCATTTCCTTAGGATGAAACCCATTTTATATAATCTTCTGACAGAATTGGTTTCCAGGTTTTATTTGATGTGTTGCTCTGAAGCTGATTCTGCTGCTTATATCTACATTTGTTACTCCGGAATTGTTTATATTTGAAGCCAGTGTGGGATGGTCACTAATGAAAGAATTTGAAAGAAACAAATGTAGCCTACATCATAGGAATCAATATAAAGGTCTTGAACCTCTTAATGTAGTCTATTCTTCTTTCCTTTCAAATATTTGAAAACTTACCCTCTCATTAAGATTCTGTTACACGGATATAATTTGTCTGAGTTTAAGTTGACTCTTTAAGGTAGTGTTCAAGTTTCATTTTCAGTCAATTTAGCTTTCTGTTTGAATGATTACTTTTGACTCCATGAAGGAGATTTTAAACAATATATTCTATATTATCTTTCTTTTGGACTAGTTTGAATAACAGCATGTGATTTGCTTCTAATTTTGGATGAAACTTTGGTAAATTTGTTTGCATTCCAATGGCTGGGTTCAAGACTGACAATTGTCAAACTGCAAAATGGCGTTTATCAAAGTGTTGCATCCAGCCTTGGAATTGCTCATTTTTGGTCTACAGTAGATCCACCAGTGTGGTTTTTTTCTGCTGACAATTGCTTGTATTTTACCTGAGTGTGGTTGAAGATGTTGTTTCTGCCTGACTGTCATGCTCTTTCTCATCTCTATATAATAACAATTATCACGTCGATGTGGTTCTCTATACTCACTCTGAATTGAATTATGTTTCACTTCATCTTTTACATGATGTGCAAAGATGTTTGAGATTTAATACCTAAACTCTCATTAATAAGCTCAGCTGTCAATATTTCACTTCTTTGCTCATTGTATCTGCTTTTTATTTTTATTTCTTTATCTTTATTGTAACATTCCACATTAGATATATTATACAGTGCTGCCATATTGTTATATCTATGATGCCAAGAGAAATCGAGCGCTTGGGCTGTCCAGCTTAAATGTCATCTATTATGAATCATAATGGGACTAAAAGATGAATCACATTCTCTGATATCTTTTGCGGTGTTCAATACAGGTATTCTTTGCTTCTATGCCTTGCAGTGAAAGTGGGTTACTTTCTCTGCCACCATTCATCGTTTTAGAATTCATTATTTGTCATAAATAGATTGTGATGTCCAATGCTTTTCCTTGCTATACTATGTACCTCAGTGATACCTTAGTAAAGGACAGCTTTTTTCACCACTTTTCCTTCTTTAAATGACGGTATCTTATTTTCTGAAAGGCAAAACAAAAGGTTAAACTGTTATCATCTCGACATTGTCAGTGCATAGAAACGTGTATGATTATTGATTGCGGGGGAAGCCAAAGGTGATGGTTTTATTATGAACTAGTTCAGTCCCAAGCATATATTAGTCTAATAAAAGTTTGTAGGAGAGATTTTCCTTACAACTCTCTCTTTGGATATTTATGAAGCATTGAGCTAACAGTTTCCCCAGGTTTTTGTTGATACACAAATGTTGTATTGCTTCATGCTGATGCAGATAATAATGAAATTTGAGCCTTTCATATAGAGATGTATTTTCTTGCAATATTTATGTACAAAAATTATGCACTGATGAATGGTGAAAGAGGAGGGATTTTAAAGAAATTTTTTTTAACCTTGACTGTGCAGCATGATTTATTCATCAAGCGCATAACAAATTTATCATATATGTATATTGTAGCCAGGTAAGATTATACTGGTGCCCTGCCTTGTCAGTTCTACATATATATATATATACACATATATATATATGGTCTGTCTGAGCAAAATAATGATAAATGTCATTTTCTTGTCTGAATACTGGCTAAAACTCTTTGTTTCAAAGGGAGGGGGGGGGGGGGACCCACTGTGGAATGAAATCTTTTGGTGGGAAATTTAAACATCACTAAATTGGTCATTAAATCAAAACAAGTTAATCTATTTTGATAGTTATTCATCTAAAGAAATAAACTCGGCTTTCTGGAGATATGGCGTTAAAAAAACACTCATAAAGGGATGGGAAACATTTTTCAGAATTTTTTCAGTGTTTTTATATGAACCTTGTTCAAGAGAGATAAAAAGGGCCCAATTATTAATCCTCAAAGGGGGATTTATTTTTTTTATTGAATATATGACAGATTTAAAGTCTAGCTTGCCATTGCTGGTCACCCAGATACAGTGGCCTGGTTTCTGGCCAGGGCTGACTACACACCCTATCCGTATTGAAAGTCACAGCCGTTGTACTAATATTGATTGTCATTCTTTGTGAACTGTCTTTCACTGTGACACCCGTCCACTGAGATACGCTTTAAGTTTTGGTAGCATTCATTCTGATTCTGCATTACAATATAATTGCTTGTTCATTTCGTTGGACCTCGGCTAAAAAAACGTAAAATGAAACTGCTTTGTTTAATTTTCTCAGGTCTTTTCGTATAGGTCTAAAAGTTGAATGACCAACAGAATCTAAAAGCCCATTCATAAAGATCACTGCAAACTAAGGTTCCGACACTTATTCTTTGATGTAAGCCTAATGCAGGTCAAAAAAATAATAGGGGATTTACAGCATACACTTAAAACATTAAAAAGTTGACATATTTTCCTCAACACCACACACACTAACTACGCCTTAGAAATGCAATTCAAGAGATAGGTTGAGTATCTGTGAAGGCAAAGTTACTGTAAGTCGTTTATTTTAGTGAATCCCTGCATGCATCCATAGAGCGGTTTTTGATATAGGACCCGAAGAGACAAACATTTTTATTACTGGATCAAGATTTTTAAAAAAAATATTTTTGATTGGGCGCTAGCATGCAGAAGTGCCTTGCAAAGGTAAGGCAAAGGGCACAGGTAAATTAATAAATGAGCTAGAATGTTTTTAACGTGGTCAGACGAAAGTGAACAAGCTATAGGTCTAAATATGAATGCAAATTTAAGAGGAGAAAGCAGAGCAGAGGTACCAATAGTATTTGATCATGTGATCCTGTTCTCTGGTCTTTCAGTTTAAGTTTGAAAGCCTGTTATGAATAGACTAACGGTGTATCCGTCCCATGCCAAGTGTACCTTTTTTCACGTCCTGGTAAGTCTTTGTCAAGATTCGACTGCTTAATACAAGACTTCTTCATTAGCCATTTTGAAAAGTGACATATATGATGGACTCTTATGCTGCGCAGTCAATTAGTGTATTAATATAATACGTTTCCTCTCTTAACGTGTACAGATTCCTCCAATCCCTGTGGATACTTATTTAAACAGTTTCGCTGTAATTTATTTACTTTGCTTGCCTTCTTTCCGTTTCTCGGATTGATTTTTAAAATATGCCTGTAGTGTGGTTTTTGTAAATTACCTGGAGTCAGTTTGTTTGAAAGAAATAAAAGAGAGAAATGTATTGGAGACGAGAGATGGAAAGAGAGAAAGGGGGAAAGAGAGAGAAAAAGGGGGGGAGAGAGAGAGAGAGAGAGAGAGAGAGAGAGAGAGAGAGAGAGAGAGAGAGAGAGAGAGAGAGAGAGAGAGAGAGAGAGAGATATGCTGATGTGTATAAGTAAATCCTTAAGATGGAACTACACCAGTATAATATGAAAATGTGAAGTTTCCCCTTGAGTGGAAAAATAAATCATAAAGCTTGGGTCTCTTTCAAATTCCTAACAGTAATTTAAGTAGGCTACAATTATAATGTTAGATAGTTTTGCTTTAGATAATTTTTTCTGCTAGATCAACAAAGGTGCTGAAAGGTACAAAAGTTTTCATGACACATCTTTTTATCTGTGATTGCTCGTTTCCAGTTGTTTGAGCTGATCCTGTACATATTGTTAATCAATGCCTTTGGCTGTTTATTTTGCTTGTTTGTTCTCTTTCATCTGTTTATGAATCTAACTGCAAATTACTGCGGTCTAACAGTTCACGTGATATGTCTTTCACTGAAAATTAAACGTAAAAATTGACTGCTCAGTGCAAGGCTCCGTCATAGGTCACTTTTCATAATGGTGTGTGGCGGGGTCTCACACTAAGCAGACTAAATGTCTTTTTTAATACAAGATTTTGAATAATAAAGTGAATTGTTCTCATAGATGACCAGCATTGTATATCAAATCGGTTTGCTATTATGTTGTTGTTGCTGTTGTGTTGCTGTAGATTTGTCATTGAGATTGTTGTTGTCTTGTGTCTGGGAGTGAAAGTATGTTTGCTTTCCATGTAACGAAGAAAGACTGATCACTTTAGTTCTGAGATGAGAGAATGCTCAAAGGAAGAGAGAGAAAAAAAACCCAACAAAAAACCCACGTAATATTTTACATGTTTAAGCACAGACGCACATTTGTAACTTCTGCTGGGGGTTCATCTTGGAAGTTATATTGTAAGGTCATAGATCTTTGGGGTCTTTTGTTTCCGGCAATCCAGTGTAAGACGGCCAGGAGAGGGAGGGGGGATGAGAAAGACACAGACATAGCGTAGTGGCAAACAGACAGGCTGGAGCAATAAACAGCATGTACATCTTATTATAGCTAATATAAAGAAGAAATGCCAAAAAGTAATTTTGCTCATGTCTTTCAAAACATGGCAGGTTCAATAATAGTCAAAGGGGCTGATAATTTCTAACTCGACCAATATCCGAAGCTTGAGAATTCTTTTACCAATGAAGACTGTCGTTTTTCATCTGTCCCATTAAGTGTTGTTTTTAAAAAAAATCTCTGACGAGGAAAGTGGGTGGTTGGCGGATGCTCTGGTGTGGTTTACTTCTTCTTTCCTATGAAACATCTATGGTCCTTATCTCCGCTTTTTCTTTTTCATGTTTGTTACTCTCTTGTAACACCTCTAATATTCTGGCGCTCACATGACCGTATGCAGTTTCGAGCGCTGTAAAACCTCTACTAAAACTAATTACGTGGACAAGAAATTAGTCCTTCAATAGCATAAAAGTGTTTGATAGAGGTAAACATTTCATAATTACTTAGAGAGAGAGAGAGAGAGAGAGAGAGAGAGAGAGAGAGAGAGAGACAGAGAGAGAGAGAGAGAGTGTGTGTGTGTGTGTGTGAGAGAGAGAGAGAGAGACAGAGAGAAAGAGAGAGAGAGTACTAACGGCTAGTGCCATTTACGATAGGACCGTTAGCTAAGTTTTAATCATCCTGGGCCAAGCAGGCCAACGGCCCGGAAGAGGCATTCTTGAACCCAGTGTTGGTTTGGTAGGTTTTAAGACTCTCCAAACTCTTGAAGGAGGCATTGCGCTGCCAAGAGCGAAGAAATGCTCGCAGCTAAAGGGATTTGAAAACGACAACAACAAGAACAAGTCTATCCAGTTATTTGGTTCTGTCATGTTGGAGACATCTGTTAGGAAACACAACACCAAGGAGGTTATAAATAGAATGGTATTTTATTCAACAGTCCTTGCACAACTGTAGATCAATGTGGTCAGGACTCGGAGAACAGCCACCGTATCTTGTGACACTGTACTCGCTACAAAACCATGAGGGCATAGCAATGACAAATTGATACACCACTGGCGAGAAAACAGTTGGCCTATGACAGCCTTGGGGATCTACAGCCGACTGCGCAATTTGCGCTCCGCAGGATTGACTCTGATCCTGTCATTGAGAAGAAGAAGAAGAAGAAGAAGAAGGCCAGATCTAAACAGTCGTCTGGCTGCTCAGATTCCTGCTAGGTCGGCCTACACTGAGTGGGGCAAAAATTAAAGAGTTTTACTGTTCACGTATTATCAGTGTTACTGTAAACTCGGGTCTCCGGTGGGACATACCGCACCTCTGCAGAAACTGGCCTTCGGATCATCGAGTGCCTAATCTGCGACAGAGATCGGCGATCATGGTTCTCCGGTTGCTTCAATATTTTTTTGCCAGCGAGAGCTAAACGTTCAAGGCTTGTATGTCTGTTCAAGAAGTACCGATTTTAAAAAAGAGATAAAACGCACTTATTCTCGTGAAAATCTAAAGCAGGTATACCAATGTGCAACGCTGGGGAGCATTTTACCATTACCGACACCCATGACTCGATGGGACCAGTGTAGTATGGGGAGGAAAAAATACCGCAGGGAAGAGACAACAAGTGACAGTATACAAAATAAGATACCCGTTTCTTGCCATCAATCACATGCCCAAATCAGCCATAAAATGTATTGTCCTTGCCCGTCTAGAATTTCAATGAACGCAGGATAGTATAAACCGATTTATTATTGAATCTGTATCCACTCAACGTTAAATTATATCTCCGGTCCATGTGCAGCAGGTCTATCTCTCGCCCTCCAATCTTCAACCCAAACAATGCCCCCCTCCCACTCCCCCGCCCCTGAGCACCAATGTCCAATACCTGTCTACAGAAGCGAACAACCAGGCGGTTTCATATTGTCAGCAAAAGGCCTCGGGTACCGCCTTCTAGTGTTTTGATGAAAAAAAAAAGAAGCAGCAAGTGAGGCATAAGACTAGCAGATCCCCTGACGTAATTTATTACCAGTACAGGTATTGGTCCGGTACTGGCAGTACTCGACGTCTAGGGCCAGTCAAGTACCAAAACGCAATTTCGATGGTACCGGCCAGCACTACGAAAGATACACTAGGCCTCAGAGATCAGCACTACTAGGCCTACTAGTTGTACATGTAGGTAGAAAATCTTTGGTAAGAGTTCAGAGAAGTTCCCAAGGCTAATTTTAGCTTTTTGCGCTCCAGAACCAAAGATTCCAAGAACACCTTTTACAGCACTAAGCCGAAGATCAATAAATGTGAGGTATCGTGGTGAAATCAGATGTTCGTCAAAATAACCGACATTTTTCTTCCCTTAGGGCAATTTTCACCGACTTAAAAAAAAGGGTTTTAGTCGTTTTGTTTTCAACTCATCACCTTTAATGCTCATTAAAAAAAACACACTTTCCTGAGTGTATTTTATTGAAAGAAATGAAAAAATGTAGTTCGCAACGGCACTAATTTCTTTGGAAGTTGTCAAACATCGTCTCGCTAATTCTACCTCAGACACCAGGAGACCCCCACCTCCTAAAAACATCTCAGCTTTTATTCCAAATGGAGGGGTATTTTTCCCACTCATAAACAAACTTTAAGATGACACCAACAATTCCATATTCCCAAATATTTACGAGCGCCTGATTCCAGCGCGTCGTGACACAAGTATAAGTAGGGCCCGAACCGGCTTTCATAACGTTCACCTTATCAGGAGGGCCTCTCTTATACGCACACCGATTGGTGCTTTATCTACCCGGATCTGTGTACTGTGGCTGTTTGGGGGGGGGGTGGAGAGAGAGAGAGGTGATCAAATTCGGTGGTGGGCCCTGATCTTCCTCTATAACTAGCATTGTGACAGTAGCAGCTTTACACGAACACTGTGCGCTGGATATCCTTCGAGGCGAGAGACAAAATAAATGGTAAGATCTGTTGAGTTCGTATGTTAATGATTTATTCAGAGGCTAATACAAATAAATAAATAGATTACACTTTCATTGATCTCAAAAGGGCGATTTGGTTCACAATGGAAAACATACATTCATGCATACATGCATACATAACTACATAATTATGAATACATACATACACAGATACATGAACAAATACATGTATAAACACACAATATTACACCAGTACAGAACAATTTACAACTATGCCATTGCCGGTCGCCACTGTATTTTGAGCTTGGGTTGTCGTATCTTGCTCAAGGACCCACCCCAGTGACCACCCATCTAAACCCCGCGTCATTACACTTGCCTGAATTATTTGAGTCTGAACTCATTGCTCACTAGCCCCCCCCCCCCCCCCCCCCCCAAGTAGAACCTCCCCACCAGGGCAGTACTACTGACTGAAGTTATCTTTAGGCCATTCCCAAAGGGGAGACATTAACATGTTCTTATGCACCGTAGAATTGTGAATGGGCTGATTTATCAATGTCAATGTCATGCTCTTACTGTACCAGAACAACATAGGGAGAACTGCTGCTTTTTCTTCCCTCATCCGTACTATCGTCATTTTTCCTCTACTTCTTTTGTATGTTTGTCGCTGTCTTGTGAACTGCTATTTCCAGGGTGCATTGGCAGTTGACACAGGTTTTGTGCTGTTGAGGCTAGAGAGGTGAACTGTACCGAGTAAGCCTGATTCCCCGTTTGGACTTCTCGTTGACATATATCCCCTTGGGCTCATATGACCTTATGCAGTTGCAAGCGCCGTAAGAACCTTACTAAAACAAACTAAAAGTAGAACCTGCTCTGACAGTCACCTGTCCAAGACAAGCACCTGTACAACCCCCCCCCCTTTTTTTTGGAGCTAAAATATTGTATTGACTCTGTCCAAAACGTCCACCTGCCTATGACAACCAATTTTTTCCTCGATATTGGGTGACCGTCTTAGACTATTTAACTGTATTATTGTTATCATCATTAGTATTATCATTTCTATCATTATTATTACTATTATCATTTCTATCATTATTATGATTATGATTATCATAGCTTAACGTGTTCTAAATTAATTTCTGAAGATACAGAGGTCATTTAATAATCTAAAAGAATGTGTTTGGTTTCGTTGGAAGACTGTCTCGACGCGGACTTCCTGATTCCTATAGAGTGATTTCTGTTGCTTAAATGATTCAGTCTGTATTTAGCATTGCTGAAAAGATTTCTACATTTAAGTCTGATTACATTACAGTATCTCAAAATCTGAAAAAATGCCTTCTATAAAACTGTGATGCTGAATATGGAGAACTGCTTCAATACATCATGATAGTGATAAATGTTAAATTTCAATTATATACATGCATGCACATAATTATGTAGGACCCAATGGTTGGGTGCCAATTCCATGACAGGGAGTCAGTTGCGTGTTATTGTGCCACAAAGAGGTTATAAAAACAATTCTAACCTTTTGGCGGTGCCAGTTGCATGGCAAATTTCTATAAGCGAAGAGTTTGAATGACATGCACCGTGCAGCACCGTTGCCAGTTTCGTGTCACTTAGAAGAAAACACGTCCTTGCCAAATCTGGGCCCGAGAGTGCCTCGGATTGCAATGCAACCACCATGCACCACTGAGCATTTAAAGGGGGGGGGGGGGGAGGGACTATACCCCCAAAGTCCCAATTCGGCTCAACATTATGGAATTTACGTTGTAGGCATTTTTAGCTTCCTCAGCCTCTACTACAACCATTTCATCGCACAAGACCCCACTATACCGCATTTTCCCCCTAATACCAGGCATGATCGTCACCACCATTTCCTCTTAAAGTCAATATTTTATTTTTCTTTATCGGAAGTTTTATCAAAACGCGACTCTTCTCTATACCTTTTTAAATAACTCCACCATTTTTTATCCAAACTTCATTAAATTTTCACAGAATGAAGAAAAGATGTAATACTAAGCATTAGTTTGTTGAATTATTGATATATCAAATATATTTTTGTTGGTGGTGTCTGGAGAGGGGATTTTCACGGATTTTTTTGCAAACTTGAATTCAACCTCAGGAAAAAAAATTATGAACATTTTTTAATTCGTTTAGGAATAAAACAACAGACACATTTTAGATCTAAATCTAGTGTTTGTTCACACGCATTAAACCCCCCCCCCCCCCCCCAATTAATTTCCATGAGCAATAAGAGCGGTATTTATTACGTAAGACATGTCAACAAAATCCAATATGGCCGCCGTATTCATGGAAACCAAACTTTTTTTTTCCAATTTGATGGCGAATTTTAAGATTCCTTACTATGCTTGTTAATTTTTTGAAATTTGTTGAAATTTGGTTGAGTAATAAGCGAGATAGCCCTCAGGTGTAGCCCCCCCCCCCCCCCCCCCTTAAGTCGAAGTCCAAGCATTGACTTTTGGCTCAGAATGTTTTGTTCGCAGATGTATTGAGAAACTATTTTCTTGAGAGATGGAAGACGCCATTTTTTCCATTTCCTCGTTGTTAATACTGACGGGAGAGAAAAAAAAAAGCTTAAGATTTAGTCAGAGTTTAACAGCAATTGTAGCACAAATAGGTCCTATAAGTATAAGTGCCGAAGATTAGAGTTATTACTTGTGAGTAACATACAATGAAAAGAAGGAGCGATAAGGAAAATAGATTGTTGTGACGTCGGTGGCCTAGTGGTTAGGCTACCGGACTCATAATCGTGGGGTTGCGGGTTCGAGGCTTGTGTCCTTGGGAAAGGCACTTTACCTGAATTTTCCTCACTTCACCCAGGTGGGATTGGGTACCCAGCTATAGACAGTGAACGATCTTGTCAGTTTGCTAATGTTTGAGCGCTTAACTAGCTGCTAGCACTGTATGCTTCCCGGGAAGCTGAGAATGTTTATGAGTGTTCTGTGATCTGCTGGGATAATAAAGCGCATGCTTTCGAGTGAGGACATGCGCTATACAAATGCTATTTATTATTATTATTATTATTATTATTGATAGGAAAGAAGGAGCAAACCATATCTGAGCATCCGCCAACCACACACAGAAGAATCTGAAGACTCCGATAGAGTTGTGGCTCATCGTCCTGTAGGAAAGACACCGAAAGAAACGAGATCGTGGACGTGACTTTTACTGTACATAGTATTTTGATGAGATGCATCCATATCATGCAGAGATTTGGTTTCAACTACTCAGTTCAAAGTATTCAGCGATGCAAATTCTGTTTGGATACTCCTTGTTCATCGCAACTGTTTTATGATGTTGTTTTGGTGTTGTCGAAATGCAGTGGGTCTTTTTCAGCAAATTTTGATATTTTTTCTTTCCAATTCAAAATGTTCAATTATGCTTTGTTAACTTGTTTTGAATAAAGTAAGTTCTGTCACGAATACGAAATTTGCATAAGAAGAGGCCTGATCCAAATTGGATTTCATTCTATTTCCGTACGTGTATGTTCTCGGTAGGCCTAATCGTTTACTTACTTATCTATAATACCCTTTATGTACTACGTTGTGCAGCTGGAAGGACACCATTTCAAAGAAGCAACGTTTCGCACTTTCGAGAGGAAAACGGTAAAAGAGTTGATGCGAAACTGAATGATGCAAGTAAATTAATAATAATAATAATGGATTGCATTTATATAGCGCATATCCACTTATGCAATGCTCTATGCGCTTAACATGATACACATTATGGATTTACAAATCAATTTTAAAGGTACATAGTGTTACATACTCGTGCAAATACATATTCACTCACGCACGCACCACACACACATACATACACACATACATACATATGCACATACAAACTCACAACGATCTACAGCTTGGATGGATACTGTCTAATCGAAATGTGATGAAAATAGAAATGCTTTTAGTTTCTTCTTAAAAATTTCTAGATTTTCTGCTTCTCTGGTAGTTTTTGGAAGCCTATTCCAAACAAGTGGGGCAAAATATGAAAAAGAGCGTTGGCCATATGATTTGTAATTTATTTTAGGCTTAACAAGGGTTGTTTTGTCACTTGATGATTTGAGCGTTCTAGGAGCCACGAACCCGGTAATTGGCAAGTTGGTATTCAATTGGGTCCTGTACCATATGCAATTGGCTCCTACCTATAAATAGAATATAAATAATATACACATACATACATTGTATATATATATAATAACACATACAAATAAATATATTACACACATGAAGGTTTGTATAAGATAATATTTAAAAAGAATATTGGGCATTGTGTATATTCGTGTGCGCCCTTGCGTGTGTGTGTGAGCTTAAGTGTGT